ACGCCTCTGTAGGTGTGTTTTGTTTAGCTTTTGCAATATACTCGATAATGTCATGATGTCTCACGAGTTCAGTATTTGCGCTAAACCTGCGCAGATTTGACCTGCATGAACTTCCCCAAGAAATGAATGAGTGAACAATTTACAAAAAGTAACTGGCCAAATTGGCTAGTGGTTTGACAGCGTTACCCGCCACAGCTGATTTTTACCCGCATTTGGCGGGATGGCGAGTGTTAATTTCAAACCCTGGTCACAATCCAATAACAAATCACGTCAAGGGATAGATTCCTATCACTAGCATGCAAAATATACCAATACCAGCACAAAACAAAAATAAATTAGAGCAAAAAACCCATGAAGTGGTTTAATGTGAATTTAGAACTTGCATTATAACCCCTGGCAACAGTGTAAAAGTAGCCTGAGTCAGACCCACCTCTCCCGCATTGGCATCTGCACTTCACACGTGTATGCCCGCGGGCGCGAATTAAGAATCACAAACGGCTGCATTCGAGTCTTCAAGACAGGACACAACATCGTCAAGTAAGTAACTTTAATGAATGTTACAGTATTCACTGTAGTTGTCCACTAGTAAAAACATAGCTTTATCAGTCATTATCAGTGTATGCCATTGTTTTGCGTTTACTACAGTTCAGTGGTTCAGGAGGCGCTGGCTGGTGTGACTGAGTGGAGGCAGGACAATCACAAACGGCTGCATTCGAGTCTTCAAGGCATTTTAGGACACAACATCGTCAAGTAAGTAACTTTAATGAATGTTACAGTATTCACTGTAGTTGTCCACTAGTAAAAACATAGCTTTATCAGTCATTATCAGTGTATGCCATTGTTTTGCGTTTACTACAGTTCAGTGGTTCAGGAGGCGCTGGCTGGTGTGACTGAGTGGAGGCAGGACTAATTTGCATATTCATAGATCAGCATATAGTAAATGAGGCAATGGTGTAAGAGTTACATTCAAGCTATTTTAAGGCATGAGAAAATTTTCACAAGAAAAAAACGTTTAAATGTCATTGTGATGATCAAAGATAAGTTTCAAGGGATAAAATATTTGACCACGGGGACTTTAAATTCTGCTGAGGTGAAATTCAGTGCAGTCCTGTATCGTGATATGTATCGTGGCCTCTGTATCGGGATACATATCGTACCGTGACTTTGCTGGTGATACACAGCCCTAGTTAATATGTTATTAATTCATATAATATATTAGTAAGCAATAATTAATGGGGGAAAAATAACATTGAAACACTGAATTCAAAATACTGTCTTTGGGTGGGAAAACACAAGGCAACATTAAAGCTTCTTTTTTGTTGACTGCAGATGTATGAAATCTCTTTGGAAAAAATAAATTTGGAAAGACTGTTGGCACACGATGGATTTTCAAAAGTACATTATACATGACCCAAACTCACAGACCTTGCAGAGATGGAGTTTGCATGGAGCAGCATTTACTACCAAACGAGCTGCTCAGAGACTGAAATCACCAGATCATAAGCTGCTCCTTTTTAAAAGAACACAGTGCCAGACTTCATACATCTGACTATATACAGCCCTCTATGGACACCTTGGCAATTGAATCGCCATTGGCTAGTAAATTTTTTTGTTTACTCGCCAGACTGATAAAAAAAAATAATTAAATAAATATATATATTAGTACAGTTTCAGATATTTATAAAACTGTGCCATTTTACAAACATATATATACATGTGTGTGTGTGTGTTTGTAAAATGAGGTGAGCGCCAGCCAATGAGATTGCCGTTTGCACATTAGTTCCACCCACTACCAGAGAAAGCGGCCGTTCTTAAACGCTGAAGAATTCCAAAGGAACTCCGTTATTTTGACAGCAAAATACAACAAAGAATATCGTTTACATGTAGCGCGTCAATTCTCTCTCTCTCTCTCTCTGCGTGTGTGTGAAACAAAGCGACGGGGAGTCGTGCGCCTTCGCACTAGAGTTTACGGTACGTTAAATACAGGTGCGTTGCACATCCATACAGCACAGATCGCTTGACGGAGAGTGAAACTCTGAAGCGCTCAGTCAGAGTGTTCTGTGAGTGAAAATATATCTGTGCTACACTTAACCTCCAACTCACACACTGGCGAGTAAAATCTGAGAATTTATTAGCCATTGGCTAATATTAGACATCATTTAGTCGCCCAGAGTAAGATTTAGTCGCATATGCGAGTGATTTACTCGCAGTGTAGAGGGTTGATAATTAAATCACAGCCTTTGCAATGTGCTAAATCACACTAAGTAGGGCTGGGCAAAAAAAAATGTTTTTTCGATTAATTTTTTTAAATGATGAAGGTTTTCATCAGCCAACTGGTACGTTTCATATACTCGCCAATGCACATGCACCTTTGCCTGTCAAACTAGGATACATCATGCAGTGACTGCATGGACTCTCTTAAGGCATTTTTTTTATTGTTTTGTGGCAAAGTAAGTGACCTAGTCCATAATAACCGCTTGCATATTGTTAAAACAACAATCAAGATATATATTGTCTGCAATAATGCTGCACACCCCTAGCAAAGAGAATGGATTATTTGGTTTGAGGATGAAGAATCACCTTTACAAGGTCCAGCAGACGGGTGGGGGAATCCAACCACAGCTACATGAGCCTCATCAAGCACAACAACAGCACCAGACATCAGTTTTTCTTCCCCAAGAGGAAGACTGAGACATAGGGAGCGAGATAGAGCCAGGACACCTTCAGCTCCTGTAGATGACCTTCTGAGTGGCAACACACTCTCATACACACTGCCATTCAAATCTGAAATAATGCAGAGTAATTGGGTTGTTAGTAGTACAAAACTGTAATTTGGGTCTGATGATAAAATGAATAAAAAGAGACTTACATAAGTACAACAGGTGTATGTTACTACCCCTGCATGTGGCAGAGAAGCTAATAGGTGCAGACAGACCAGGTTCAGTCTCAAATCTGTGTTTCACAAGAGTGTTGGGGTCAAATCTCTGAACATACAGGCAGTGCGCTCCTCTCTAAAAAAACAAAGTTTAGAGCTGATTTATTATGTTTCATTCATTATGCACTGATAGTACAAACATCCACCAAGATTCGAAGAGACTTCAGAAAAAAACCTGTTCTGTGCTGAACAAAATTACACATTTTAGGTAATATAATCAGACTACTTTTAGATTACTTTCAACCTAACTTGTTTTTCCACATTGATTTAAAATAGAATAATCTTGTACCATATTGGTATAAAAATACAAAGTGTAATAAAATATATTCCATTTGTTGTTATCACCAACATGCATTAAACACTATATTACGTCAAGGTTTCCCAAACTGGGTTTGTGAAGGAACTGCAGGGGATTTATGAGTTTAATGAAAAACGAATT